AGAGTTGCAAAAAGCCTAAATGTTTGAACCTGAAGCCCGAGGTCAAAAAGCGCAGAGCCCTAACAGAAATACTTGAGCCTTAAGCTTGAGACCCCAACCTCCTAAACCCTAAACCCTAAAACCAGCCAAACACTTGAGGACAGCTCAGTTGAGTGGCAGCTCCCAGTTGATGCAGCGTTCATCGCAATTGGTCATGACCCCAACACCCGGCTCTTCAAGGGCCAGGCCAGGACTGTTGCTTATATACTTGTACGAGGAAATGGAAAAGAGCATGGAAACGACTATAAGGGGGTTATATAGGGTTTGAGTTTAGGGTGCTTACATGGGTCATTCTCAAAATTATGGGCCTCTTGTGGCTAAGAATTGCCGCGCCTAATATTTAAGGGTACCAACAAGGACCCCCAATTTTGGGAGCTACCCATATACTTTTATAGGGTTTAGGGTTTAGGGCTTAGGGCTCTTTTGAGGGGATTTTAGGGCTCGTGTTAGGGCTTGGGGTGTAGGGGAGGGACAACCAGAGGGGGGGGGGCTACGTGGAAATCTTGGTTATAGGGTTTGAGGGTGACGGGCCAACGATGGACAATCAGGTGGGAAAGAAAGCAAGGCATGACATGAAAGCTATTCCTGTACTTCTGGCTGTAGGGTGTACAGGTCAGGGGTTAGGGCTGCAGTGGTGCCATGGAAGATCAGCAGAACACCGTAAACCCTCAGCCTTAAACCCAGAGCTCAGGTAACACTCCCAGCAGCTACTTGATGGAACCATTCATAGCAAAGCACCCCTAGAGGCTTCGACCGTCATCCAAATACCGCAGATGTCTGGGTACTACACCTCGCTATGGTTTCCACAGTTGGGGTCATGGGGGCTGAGTCCTTGGGCGCTCAAGGCTGCCACATTATAGTACTGCGGATTCATGTCCACCGGGAGTGTGATTACACCGTTGGCGTTCTCAATTGGGTTGCCGCTGGTGTGACTACGAGCGTTGTTGAGGGGCTGCTCCCCTTTCCTCTTCTGTACTAGACTCACCGTTTTGGTTCGTTCTACGATTGCAACGATAATCAGGAAATTGCATTTCTGCTCCCTCGCGTCCGGTCTAACTGTAATTTCATTCTTGTCGTTGTATCCACGAATGTTGTATCTCTCCATGCCCACATGTGACGGTTCCAAGTCCTACAGGGTATCTTTGATTCTGTCCCTCTCCGGATCTGCCTTCCCCCTAAACCTCTACACCAGCCTATTAGCTTACATTCCCCCTTAAGTAGATAGAATATGGCATATTGTAAATAAGATCCCCATATACCACATATTCTATCTACTTAAGGGGGACTATATGCCCTACACGTAGGTTGGTAGTTGCTTTCCTGCAAACCCTCGCCTCATTCCTATGATGAGCAGGTAGAGATGGATGAGAACCTTGGGCAGCTTAAGGTTTAGGGACAGGGTAGACTGGTAGGGCTTGGGGCGATTGGGTGATGACTCGGGGTCTTGCGGCAAGTTTCTGGATGGCGTCTGGGTTTGAAGGTCAAGGACTCTGAGTTAAGGCTTGACGCTCAGACCTTTGACAGAAAGTTCATAAAGATGTGATCTCAATTTTCGGTGGTGTTCAATCCAGGTTGGAATCCTAGGCTTAGGGAGGCTGAGCATTTTTTCCGCAAAGATCGCAGATCCGCCACAAGCGTCATCGAGAAGCGCATCGTTTTTCCCCAGGAAAGCTTGAGTAATCGTGGAAAGCCAAGATAGGGGCTGAGGGAAGAGATGCGGACTCTGAGCCGGAGAGCGGGGGCTTGTACCTGAGTGAGGATCATCTTCTATGTGTTGCATTCTGCTAGGTTATTTCAAATCCCTATACATGCTCTTATGACCCTGTATATCCCTATCTAAACTCTGTATATTCCTAGCTAAACCCTGTATATCCCTGTATCCCTATATTGCCAATTATTCAAGTAACCCCTCTCCTCACCATACTCTTGCGACTCCTTTCCTCCACACTCCAGCCAGGCCCAACGACCCCTTACCAGGGCCTGAACTTTAAACCCTAAACCCTAAACGCTTAAGAAGGCTAATTTTCAGAAGCACCTACCCTGAGGACAGGCTACATCCACGTCTACGGCCCAACGAAGACCTCCGTTACCTGGTGCTGCAGTGAAGATTGGTTTGGGGTCAAGGGCCTTCAGGGTCATGGTGGTTTCCAAGAACCCAAGAACTCCAGGGCTTTCCTTGGCGTCCCGATGATGGGGGCTAGAAAGCATTTTGCCGTATGCATGGAGATCCTAATTCTTGGAAACTTTGCAGAGCTAAACGGGGCTTTAGCCCAAGTGAGGCTGCAGTGTTCTGTCTTCCCATTGAGCTTCGTCTGCCATGTTGTCAGGAAGGAATTGAACCACGGAGCTAGTCTGATGCTCAGAGAAAGCGCAGCCAACGCATTGCAGTCCTTGAGGATCTCTAAACTGTGGGCGTCTCAAAACGTATCATTTCTCCTTTCCCACTTCCTGCTTGGTACTGCTACGGGAGGGGGAGTTCAAACAAATCACAGCTCACAGCCTGAGTGGTTTCTTAATCTCGAAGAGTTGATGCAGTCTATGCACTCTTTCGTTTGGTAAGCCCTGAAGTTCAGATTCCGTGACTCTTTGATGGGGATTCCAACTCTTATTGCACATGTCGCCTCACATCCGACACCCTTAAGCGACCCGAATCTCCTTGAAGCCTAAACCTCCCCCAAGTCCCCAATCTCTTCAAAGCTTAAACCAGCGCAAGCGTTTGTACCTCTCAGCACAAACCCAACAACCTTCCAGTCTTCCTAGGGTTCACAGATACTCCTTTTACATAGACCTATCTCGTGCACTTCTAACCCTACTTGTCGCTGCAGTTGATCCTCGCCGTAGCCACAAATTCAAGGTTCCTGGCTTCTTCGCAGCTGGGGATGTCGCTGACAATGTCTACCGACAGGTTGGGCCACCTCTCAGGGACTAGAACCTAGTAGTTTCCATGGTGGCTTTTCCATGATTGGTACTTTAGATCCTGTATACCCTGCCTAACCCCCTTAAGCCTAAACCTCTATAATCTCTTTATAAACCCTATCTAACGCTCAGATTTCAATGATCATGTCTTAGGGTTTGAGGGTTCAGAGATGCTGGTGTAGGAATCACAGGATGCTGGGGGTCAAGGTATGGGGTTTGAGGTTCAGCGCTTCTGGTACCAGAGTTAGGGTTGAGGGATGAAGGTCAGCTCTCACCTCTGAAGGTGGATTCAGCGATTTGGATCGATATGGAACTTGGGCTTGCGGGATCAAGTTCTAAAATGTGGGCAGCAAGGGATTGGAAGCTTGCTGCCCTCCGTTTTCCGAGTCTTGCACTGAGGAGACATGGTTTAAAGATTGGGGTGGTGACATGATGCAATAATTGCTCTGGCTTTGGGGCATGCCATCAAGACCGTGGTTCGGGGTTTAGATCAGTAAGGTTTACGCTGCAGGGCCGTTTGTAGCTCTGCAGTCAGAGAATTGTAGGGGGCTCCCTTTCGGAACATATGATTGCGTATGGGACCTCTTTATTTTTGGGGTCCCCCCCAAGAGGGTCCCCAGAAAAAATGGGAAATCATGTCTTTATGAAAGCGCTCCTCAGATCCTCGACCTGGGGATTGGCTTCAAGGAGGTTCTGCATTAGGATCCTGCAGCCCAATCACATCCATTTTTGATACTCCGGTTTAGGATTTGGTCTTTTAAAGGCAAAAGGTTACCTGAAAACCTTCAGGGGTTGAGGGCTGACAGATTAAAGAGGGCCTCCAAACAATGCGCTTGGTTCAGGCTCCAGAGGCCTGCTGGACGAACCCCTTCGCCCAAATCATTTGGGCTGTGATTTTAAGGTTTTGAATACAGATTTGTCATAAGCTGATCGGCTTCAGGTTCAACTTGTGGTTTCTGGCGTTTGAATACAAAGCTCGCAGGGCTGGTTTGGTAAAAGATGCTGAAAAGCCTGCCTTTCACACCAGGGGGGATTGGAACTTTCCTTTTGCCCACATGATTTGACGCGCAATTTAAGGTTTGGAATAAAGAAATATCCTTTCAGCTGGCCGGCTTCAGGTACAAGATTCGGTTTCTGGCTCCAAACTCACAACATGTCACAGCGGGCCTTCTATCATTGGCCATGATCCTGAACAAGGGGGCCCCGCAACGTGTTCTGAAGGATCTGTTCAATAAAGTGGCTTCAACATTACCGCAGCAGTGGGGTCCCCCCAACTGCCTTGGACTTTCACACCGTCGCTGATCCATTCCGAGAGCATTGGGAGAAGCCAGCCGCCATCCTTCAAACAAAATTGGAAGGGAGCGAACGGACTTCGTCCATAATGCCAATGTGCTAAGTGAAAGCACATAGCTTGTTGGTGACTTTTGCTCGCAGATCAACCGTGGCCTGTGGCCGCGCTTGTAGAAGTGTGGATGTGCAAGCTTCCAATTGCTGCAGAAGGACCATGGGTCATGATGCTGCACAAAATGAAGGCAAAGCGCGCTGGTATTGCAACTTGCACCGCACCATAGTTGTTGCCGCAATTTGGATGGCAAAGCGCTTCAGAAAGGTCTTGGAAAATGGAAAAGGCCACGGTATGAATCTCCAGAAAGCCGCGGGAAAGACATTGCGGCGAACCAATGTAATTCGGTTTCTTACTGGCAAGACTGGCTCAAGCTACCACGCACCACTTGTTTGCTATAAGCCTTGACTGATGCTGAGCCGTCTCCAATTCGGTCTGCAAGGCCTGTAACTGCCGCTCCTGAGTTTAGCGCGTGCCAAGCTTTTGTTGACCTAGCCTTGGCCTCCTTCGCCAAGAGCTGGTCCCGGGCATTTTGGCGGACTTTGGCGTGCTTCAGGGCCGACTTGCAAGAGGCTCTTGATTCTTGAGCCCAGGATCGGAACCAACATTTCCGTTGATATGGCACTTTGATATTTGCGACCGTTCCCTTCGCGCTTTACGATGTAAAGAGCTGATTTCACACTAGCCCACCAGCCATTCATGTTTATCGTGAAGCCTGTTTCATGTGAAGGTTTTCTTCGAGATTTGGTGTCTTGACTGCATTACAGAAAGCTTCCCTCTTAAAGGATCTTAAAGGCTTCTCCACATCCGGAGGAGTTTTCATGAGACCCGGGTCATTATGTTTTCGGCTGAGATTCGAGATGACATGGGAGGGTAGGCGGACCCTGGGGCATACACCATTGACACCTTCTTCTTCCCAAGACCTGCCGGGGAGAGTTGTTCTTGCATCCGTGAACTGGCCTGGCGCTACCGGTGCCAGCATCCCAGCTGACATGCCTGCACGGCTCAAAACTGAGAGGTGTGCCCACCGGCTGTCTCCGTCCACTGCCACCTGGACACTGGCTTGGATTTGCACGTAATCTTTGAGCTGGCAGGTCGGCCTGAAAGTGAAAACAGAAGGCACCGGCTTGCTTGTCGAATGCCTGCATGTTCTGAACTCAAAGCGGGCCCAGCAGTATCCCGGTAACCTAGCAGAAGCCATCCCCAGGACAACCCTGGCTATCCCACCTGGCCGACAACGACAAGACACGTGAAAACGCCAGGTCGTTGAGGATCCATCCTCAAGGTCTTCTGCTTGCAAGGGCAGTCTGATTTTGTTTCCTGACGATGAAGCATATCTACGTGCACAGCAGGTGTGCTGAGGCTCTAACGTCATTGGAATGCCTTGTCCTGTCAGCCAAGTTCAAATGCACGGCGCAATAGCTAGCAGGCTAGCACTGGGTCCTCCAGTCGGCTGAACCACGACATAGGAATGCCTGGCCTCACTTTCAGGAAAACCAGCCTTCCCTTCTTTAGCACGAATTCCAAGTCCGGAACCCATCCTCTGACTGATTCCCACTGCCTGCTAGCAATGCCGAGTCCCTCTTGCAAATTTCTGCATGCAGTTCACATGTCATTTATGAAGCGGTAGACTCTTGCCAGTCAGCCTACAGCCCCCTTCAGAGATGCCTGGAGCGTCTTGACGACACAGTGAATGTGCGAACTGTCACCTGCAGCGGAAGACAGCCCTGAATGCATGGCCACGCCAGCATGTCACGCAGAGCAGCACCTTGCCATCCTCGATGTACAGAGCCAGCTCAACCTTTTCAAGAGCAGCCCAAGTCAAATGACAGGCAGATGCAAGAAGCTTGGCGAGTGCTGACATATGCTGACTAGCATGGCGCATGCCCAGGGTGCACGGGGAACCTCTTCGCCAGGCCGCCCCCTCACCTCAGAAGCGTGCGCAATACCATCTGTTAAACGACCAGGACGGACAAACATGCTTGTTGACGCTGGCCTGGAAGTACCGTCCACTTCCAAATTCGTCTGGACCGCATGCCTGAGCGACAGAACTGCCAGCGCTTGCTGAGCAAGTCGTCATCACCAACCTCTTCGCCAGTTCCAGTGGCCTGCGGTGCTGATGGGTAGATGGCCTCACTGCATCTTTGGCAGAGGTATCGGCATGCCATGCTAATGTTAATGCTTTTTCCTGCCTGCAATGTATCGCCATCTCGCCAGATCTGGAAGTCCTCACGGCCTCTTTGTCCGATCCTGGCTTCAAGAATTCTCAACACGACTGGCGCCAAAGAGTGCGGGCACAACCAGCAGGTGCAAAATCCTGTTTCTCTTGGCCCTACCACCCGCGCTTAGCCCTAGTCTAGTCACCGGATAGCAAATTCCCAACTGCAGTCTTCTGGCGGAATCCCATCGGGGTCTAAAGCCAATACTTGCTCCCAGGCGCTTTCAGCTACAGCTTCCTGTCCAGCAAAGCGACGTAGTGCCACAAGATTCCGCCAGTACAAAACGCTCGAAGGACTTAGTTCCACCGCTTGCTGCAATTGCTCAAGGCCATACTCTATTGCCTGTGATGGCAATTGGCCCAAGAGTGCGCCCAGCCCCAGAGCGCAACCCAAGTTGTTTAGGCCCTTTGTGAAGCTCGAGTTTATGGCCAAGCTCTTCTCAAAATTGACAAGTGCATGCTGCGGCTTCTGCACAAACCAAAGCGCCAACGCATAGTCATGAAACACCTCTTCCTCGTTCAATATCAACGGGCTAAAGTGCCCCTCAACGGCCCTGGCGAGGAGCTGTTCCGCGGCAGTGTGATTGCCCTGGTAGAAAAGAATTTGCCCAGAGCGATAAAGCGGCATGCAGTCCCTGCCGGTCGGGTCTAATTCCATCACGCGCCTGAAAGAAGTGAGGGCTTCGTCGTACCTTTGTTCAGAGAGGTAATAAGAAGCCAAGTTGTACTGCACCCGTACTGAGCGCTGTTGCTTTGCAGCGTCTGCAACTGTGATTGACTCTGGGCTTGACCAGTCGCGCACCCGCTTAGCTGTGAGATGTGTGTAAATGATGCCTATTGCAACCAGCGGCAGCCACGTTCCGGAGAAGCGCCTTTGCACAAAGCCAAGACTGCTGAGCAGGAAGCCAGCAGATGGTATGTACAACAGCCGCTCAGCTACCATAGTTCCCACTGGGAACAGAATATTGGACATTGGCAAAAAACTCAGGAAAATGATAGCCAAGCCAAGAAGTGGAACTTGAGACGATGCCTCCTGCACTGAACTTGAGCGGAAAATGCCCACGGCTAAAGTCAGCCCCTGGGCGAATGATGAATAAGCAGCCAGGGAAAGGAGCAAACGCACATCAAAAGGGTGCCGCACAAGGGGCACTGCGTCATAGGAGTAGTCGTAGCAAAGGAACATCGGCCACACCAGAAGCTTTCCGTAGATCCCATGCACCAAAGCATAGGACAGCATCCGAATGGTCGCATCATTTTCCGCCGCCACAGGGTTACTGTGCGGATCCATGCGCTCGATTGTGGTGCCCGTATACCAGATGCGGCACGCGCAACTGACAACTCCAGCTACCAAGACAAGTCCAATTCGTAATCGAAACCATGCTTGGCGTTGCAGCCGACCCAGAAGCTGGAGCATGTCCCAGCCGACCAACAAGCCAAAAAAACAAAAACCGGTTTCTTTGCACAGACCTGCTACTAGCAGCAGTCCGCATGACAGGGAACTGCCCAGCATCACGATGTAGCCCTCCTTGAACCCTCTGCCAGTTCTGCTGCTGAAGCGGTGGGTTAAAGCGGAAAGAAGAACGAAGAACAAACACAGCAAGTCTGCGCGCCCCACGATATACAACACGCTCTCAGTGTGGACCGGGTGAGCACAAAACAGCAAGGCTAGGAACACTGCGTTATGCTTGGTCAAACCGACGGTAAAGCCAAGCACGCCCAAAAGTCCACTGCAAATGAGGTGCAGCCCTAAGTTTGTGAGGTGGAACCCGACCGAATCAAAGCCATGAAGGAGATAATTCCACCGAAATGTCAATACAGTAAGTGGTCTGAAGGACTTATGCGTCCAGGTGCCTGCAAACATGTCAAGACCCCAGTAATCTGAGCGAAGTAGTCGTCGTATATCAAGTGCTGCATACACATTGGGATTCCGGGCGATCATTGAGTCATCCATAAAAAAACTCCCCATTGTGAAGCAAGTGGCCGGCATCCAGGCGGCCAAGGTTACCATGCTCAGCAAAACAGCAGCCCAGCTTCTCCACTCAGACGATGCCAGCAGGCGGCCGGAGGCTTCAAGCTCCCGAGTGGCTGAGATTTCCTGTGGCGCATTTAAGATAGCGGCCGCCATTTGGACAGCATTTTGTTCCAGTTGTATGCCAAAGTCCTCCAACTCCAGGCCACAAGCCTGGATGACTACCGCCCTCAAGGCTGTGGAGGAAACTGGCAGTTTGATACTACTCCTCTGTGCCAAGTGCATCTGCAGATTCGGGCAAGCAGTAACCAGCAATAGCTTTGAGATCCTCACTTCTTCCAAAACACCATTTTGCACGCAGATGACCGTGGCATCACAGAAATCATCCGCAAAACCTAGCTCCACCAACCGTCCCACGGCAAGCTTCAAAGTACTCATGATGACAACCTTTGAGCAAGAAGGCAACCAAGCACAGAAATATTTCGAGTTTCTGGGTTGTATCACTACGTGGTTTCAGAATTGTTTGGCTTTACACTGCAGGTTCAATGTAAGCCCTAGATTCTCCTATACAGTCGTATAAGTTCTTATGTTGTTTTGAGGGAAGTTGTCCAGGCGCGTTCCTTGCCAGAAGCGGACATCCCATCACCCGGCACCATCAGGACGCGCCATTACCCTCTAGTTTACATTCCCCATTCTTGTGTCGGATGGCCGCAATTATCGACTGCAAACCAGACTCGCATCCGAAGGAGCAAGGAAGTGACAAAGGACGAGAAAGGGATTTAGAAGCATGTAGCCGACGAGCATGGGAGAGGGAAGCTTTGATATATACTGCATATCCTCACTTAATTTTCCTTCCGCAACACAGACTTGGAAGCCAAAGCTGGAAGTGGAAGGGTTGACGGGTTGTTTGACATCTTGATGCACACCGGCTTCTTGTTTGACTCGGGGATGTAGCACGCGCCCTTCTGAGTTCATGAGGTGGCACCATGCAGGAGGCTAATGGCCCCCCCACCGCCTACCAGGCTGCATTTCGCTTTTGAGTCATGTTTCAGCGCGCTCGCGCATCTGAAAATTGAATCTTTATAACAATTATCTTTTGTACCTCCCAACCCAAATGATGACTAGTGACTATTGAACGGTTTTGCGTCATAGGTCAAGACCGGGCTTTGAGCCATGCGATACAAGCCCACTGTTGTCATGTGTTAAGCCACAGCAGCGGCACTCTCGCGCATCCTAAATTTGATTTTATGAGCGTTGCTTGGGGTCCCTGGCATTTACAAGGGATCCTGCACTGTGAACTACACATGGTAGGCCTGGTAGGCCCTAGGGGGGCAGAGCTAGTGTAAGATGCTCCATATCGCGCCAGACAGCTCCAATCCAAGGATGATCCGGGGATTTTGTCCCAGAATCTAGACTTGTGGTGAAATTCTGGAAGCTGCTTTGGGCTCATTAGCAGAAATTAGTGGGCTGAATTTTCATTGTCCCGATTGGCCGGGCCGCAAGTCATTAGGCAAGGCAGGTGAGAAGGTCAATATTCTTCATTGACTTGAGAAACCATACGAAACCCAACGCTTGGTTTACGCTGTTCGTACAGCAGCTCCAAAAGAACTTGCGATGCTTGTAGCGAGACATTACTTGCGGTGGCTTACGGACGCCGTGGCTTTGCTTGCGCAGGTTGCCGCTTGGCTTCTCGTTTGCTTCTGGCGAGTTTTGATCTCCGAGGCGGGGTATTGAAGACGAAGCTGCAAGATGGGCCCAGGGGTACCAACAACTGCCCTAAACTTCAACTCGCGTGTCAGGACACGAGAGAAGGGTGTACCTAAGGACAACACGTCCAAGTCGAACAAGTCGAACAGGTACCTGATATCCAGCACCTTCTTTAGACTGTATACACAGTGGGGAGACGACGAAACGCCTTGAACTTGCCATCTGCTCTCCATTAATTACTACTTGTACGAAGAAGTTGAGACCAAAGCTGCATGCAAAAACGTATTTCAGCTACTTAAAATGCCGAGAAGTTGACAACTGATGGCACTCGTTGCTTGTCTCGTTAGTTCTTCTCTTCTCTGCCATTTTGCTGAGTCCGATTGGTTGTCCTTGCTCAACCTTTACAGCGCCCCGTGACGCGACATAAAGACAGGCTTGCCTACAAGGGAAGCAAAATCCTGTTCGCTAGGAATGCAGGCCTCAATGTTCCAGACCACTCCTGAAGGGTGGCTTCGTCGGCACACTTGAGTGCCTGGCAAACGCTCCTGACCCTGGGCCCTCGGCAGCTCCGGCAGCAAAAGCATTAAGGACTCTGCCACCGTCCGCCACTTTGTGCAGGTTCCGGTGACCTAGGCTCGATGCTGCTGCAAATCTTCCGTGGATTTACGCACGACATCAGCTAAGCCGCAAAATAGCTGCTCTTGCGGGGAACTGCCAAGACTCGCCGCCTTGGTAGCACGGCTGTATAGGCTCTACATCGGACTGCGCTCAACAGGTGGTCTTTGGAGCCCCCATGTTTGCGTACATCTTCCCTCCACTGGAACACTTTTTGCCGAACGCACGATATATCTTCAATGCTGTGAAACATGCCCATGGCGGGAGCTGCAGTGTCCTTCGGCAGCTGGCGAACTAAAGAAGAACCACACGTTCTTCAGCCGCGGGGACACAAACCGTCTCCTCTCAGGCTGGCTTCTTCGCTTGTATCAGGATACGGATGAGAGACATTTGCGGGCACTGGAAGCCATTAGCCGCCGCGACTGATGATGATGCATATTTCGATCAGCCTGCCATTTCTTGCCCAGCTAACGGTATGGCTTTCAGTTCCGAGCCACGCGTTTTTCCTCCGCTCACTGGACTCGTGACACGTCCTGAACATGCTGCATGCCCTCCGTGCCTGTGGGAGAAAGTCTTGACTGTCAATCACCCAAGCCTCAGCCTGGAGATGACATCTTCGCTCCTTCGCAGCAAATCGAAATCTACCTGGCATCCATAATGGAAAGTGTGCTTTTTATCGAACACGTTCATGAATGTACAGTCTAGGCCATGCCACCTGGGACCAGGCCCGAGATGAAGAAAGCGGCAGTCGGCCCGGAAGCACTTTCCACCTGTATAGTTGAAGCAAACCTGCCAGCACAGGGCAAAATGAGTTGCAAGAAGCTCACGGCATGCCCACAGGCTTCCTGAATCAACCCTTCAAGTCATCTGGAAGTGCCCAACACCCAACTGTTTTGAGAGCCGTTTATTCTGATGTTGGTGCTCTTCGAAGCATTTCCGACGCGGGATGCAGAAGCTACCCGCGCCAAGATTCCCCTACATTCTATTGCACCTGCTAAGATGATTTTGCGCTGCGCTGCCCTAGGGAGCATCATGATTGACGATTGGTACGAGATCTGCCTGAACAGTTCCACATGGATCCGGCCTGTTGTTTGCCTTGCTGCTGGGCTAAGGCCTGCCCTGTGAGAGGCGTAGGCCTTGCGAGGGTCTGAGGCGTTGCGCCGACTGACCTTTACAACAGCGTGGCAGGGATGTGCCCATGCAATGTTCCTTGCCAAAGTGGATTCAATATCCGGCGACATACAAGTTCGGCCTCAGCCTGTCTGCAAAGCCCGACCTCATGACGAGATCCAGATGCCAAGCAAAAATGACGACATGAAACACTGCATCAGGAAGTTCGCTTTGAGCTACAGTCGTGAAGGACAATTGAATCGAATCCAGTTTCTAGCTGCAGCTGGAAACACTACGTGCTGTGAATGACCGTGTTGGCGTTGGTGTTGCTGTTGGTGTGTGCCGGTCGCGTTGCCGGTGCAGCTGCCACCACCGCTGGTGCTGGTGGTAGCAGTGGCGGTGGCAGTGGCTGTGGCGGTGGCAGTGGCGGTGGCAGTGGCGGTGGCAGTGGCGGTGGCGGTGGCAGTGGCGGTGGCAGTGGCGGTGGAGGTGGCGGTGGAGGTGGCGGTGGAGGTGGCGGCGGCACTGGTGCTGCTGTGCTGCTGGTGCTGTTGGTGCTGCTGGTGCCAGTTGCTGCGGATGCTGGTGCCGGAGCCGGTGCCGGTGGTCGTGGTTCTGGCGACGGCGGCGGTGGCAGCGGCAGTGGCGCAGGTCGTGCTTGCTTGCGCAAGCGAAGGAGCAAGGGCCAACGCAATCGTCAGAATTGGTGCTATTACTTGTGTAAGTCTGGGAACAGATTGATGCCATAGCACCAGTGTTCCGGGAAAGTGCCTGCTAAAATCACAGCAGTGGCATGAGCCTCCACATTGGTGGGCTTGAATGCATCTATGCACGCAGATCAGCAGAACCTAACCTGTTTGATGCAGTGAGGCTCACACAGAGTGATGAAACCGAATGCCCGCAGGCAATCTGATACAACTCTGATACATCAATCTTGATACCAAAATGCGGCCCAGCATTCCCAAAGACTACTCTTAGTCATGGATCCGAGCCTACGTGGCCATGAAAGGGTCCTCTGAGGCGGGAGCTTGGCAAGAGCGTGTGCAAATGTCACGCTCTATCAAGCTTTTTGCGCATGTGCTGCAGTGCTGGTGTAGCAACCGAGCCACGAGAAACCCGCTGTCGGAGGCGGCGCTGGCGCGGCAGGAACAGTGACCGGTGCCGGCGTGGGCACTGCCAGCTCAGCAGCTGGTTCCAAGGTGACATCGACCAACTCAAGCCTGGTCGGTGCAGCACCCTCAGTCTACTCAAGCTCCAAGCGCCTGATGTCCCACATCGATGCCCAGCAGCATTGGGGGCAACAGCTGAAAGCTGCTAATGCCCAGTCCAACTGCCATGGGCCAAATGCGCCGTCCCATGTCGCTGCTAGCAGAGCTGCCTGGGCATGGGGATCCAAAAGCAAATCTCCGAGTCCAATTGCTGAACTGGCTTAAGGCTAGCTAAGCTGGCTACTAGACTCTGACGAACTGCGCCGACGGCCCTTGTCTCGGTCTCGTTCCTTGGCACTCTCCGAGTTGCTCATTGCTGGGGGGGGGGCCTTCTGCTGCGCGGTGCCCAACAAGTTAGATCATCTAGGCGTCTCGATCTTTCTCTTTTTCCTTGTCCTTGGCAGTGCTGTTGTCCTTCTGCCGCTCGCGCTCCTTCTCGCGAGCCTTCTCCTTTTCTTTTTCTTTCTCCTTCTCCTTATCCTTGTCCTTCTTGTCTCTGTCCTTTGCCTTCTCCTTATCCTTTTCTCTGTCCTTATCCTTATCACGGTCCTTCTCTTTGTCTTTGTCACCGCCTTTTTCCTTCTCCTTATCCTTGTCTTTTTCCTTATCCTTTGTTTTGTCTTTTTCTCTGACTTTTTCTTTGTCCTTTTCTTTCTCAGTCTCCTTTTCTTTTCGATCTTTGTCTTTATCCTACAATAGGGAGTAGCATGTCGCCATGTTGCTTCATGCTCCCAGAACTGCAGTGCCTTCTTTTTGTCCTTCTTCTTGTCCTTCTTGCCTTTGGCTTTATCCTGCGTGGAGGGCAGAGATGCATTTCGTGTTGTTCTGAGGATAGGGCTGATCAAACGTTTCAGTTCGAATACAACTGTCATTTTCCTTTGTTTACACAGTCTTTGAGGACCTTCGGGGCTGCGTCAATCGTTTTACTCTTGCCAGCTCGCATGCTTAGGAGAAGGTAATCTACCAGAAGCTTCACGGAAACGCTCCTTTTCACGTCCACTGCGGCTGCGCTTTTTGCCTCCGGAGCTGCTACTTGATCTACTCTTTCCTTAGCAGACACATATGCAGAATCGCTCTGGTCTCTGCCAGAGCTGGGCATTAAACAAACATACAGTGGTGCAAGCAGCTTTCATGCAAGGGGCGAGCCATGGCCAGTCTGGTGAAGTGCAGATGCTGCTTGTGCCAGTTCGTTTTCTGCAAAGATTGATGGCCAGTCTCTTCAACGCTCCACGTACAGTTATACTGTTACAGCCATCGGCGCAAGCTGCGATCCGCTGTGCTGTCACTGTGTTAGACGGATCTTGAGTTTTGACTTTATGTTATGTGCGCGTGCGTCTCGCTGAACATTGGGGGACCCACCTCCTGAGCCAAGGGGTGCCAGGAGACCAAGGCTAGCATGTCCAGCTTCAAGTAAATGGCAAGCATGGGGCTGACCCAAGCTAAATGAAAGCTGTGTTTGGCACTTCTCGCCGACTTCCCTCCACGTCACCATCATCTGATCCAGACCTTGCAAGAGCGGCACTGCCATATGAAGGAGGCGGAGATCCATTTCAGACCCGACAGCACGTGCTGACAGTGGAACACATACAAGCCATGCAAACGTTGCTCAGGCAAGAAGCTGTACTTGAACGTGATCTGAAGCACCTGGTTACAAGCTGAATGCTCTGCGGCAGCTGCTGGAATCAGTCCTGCACCAATCATGTTAGGATGGCTGTTCCGGCGGCAAGTTCTTCATCCCGGCCATCAATGATCCATTTGTTGCCATCTCTGTTGACCTCAAAACTGGAAAGATTAGAGCTTTTGCAAAGGAGCTTGGCTTGCAGCAGCTGGGTGCAGGCGCATATTTTTGCCTCATGCTTGCTTGCCCAAAACGAGTCATAGTGAATCTCCAGGCGTACAGCTGGGAAGTGCTTCATAAACACCACCACAGCTATGAGGGCCGATGTGGACGGCCAGTGGCTCAGAAAGAGCCGCAGCCTGCCTCTGCAAAGTGCAGGTTCAGCCCCAACCCTTGACACAGCGCGTGTGAGGTGGAGGAACACTTGATGCTCACAGCCGTTGTCCCGTGGATGCTGCCGTACTATTCCTTCAGGCATCTCCACATGAGGAACACATGACATTCGTCCCGCGCCTTGCTGTGCGCAATACAGGCGGCCAGGCTCATGCAGATAAGTATCAGGAGCTTGAATATGCCAAGAGGCAAAAGCTAGAATTGACGGTGAGGCCGGCGAGTACAAATGCTCTGGCGGCACAAGTGCATTTGATGCTGGCAACTGCCTCAATTCAAGGCATTCCACCCGAGCCACTTCGTCTGCATTGCCATCTTCTGCATCGTCATTTCGCGAGCTCATGCTCTGACCACAGCATGAGGTTGCCATTGCACTCTTCGGAGTTTCTAGGAAAAGTCTTTCCCAAAAAGTTGATATATGAAGTAGCTTGGGGAACAAAATGCAAGTTGGACTGTGCTGAGGGAATAATGACAGCTGTTTTTCAGAACATCAATCACAACTCGCGGCATGCTATCCGGAGGGATACATGCTTCCAGGCATTCTTTGCTGCAGCATAGCCTTCGGCGGTCTTGGTGCCGCACACCAGGGCCTTCGATGGCGATGTGTTGCCCGGCGCGATCAACAGCGGGGAATATGCTCAGCCTCGAATTGACCCATGAGATGCAGAACCTTAAACAATACTTGCCGAATTCAGGTTGGCACTCTTCCTTCTCATCAACGTACAACTCAAACAAGTCGTACCTTCAAGGAGACCAGAGGATGGACGTTCACAGGAAAAGTTGAAGTGTAAGGACAGCTGGCCTTTCCTCGCCCAAAGTGATGACCGTCGTGAACCTTTAGCCAGGGTAAATGGCAACAGCTTATACGTCTATCATCTCCATCAGACCGGGAAAGTATCCTGTTTTGCAAGCATGCGCCAGTGCATATGCCTGCCACATCCTTATGATAAGAACAACAACGCTTGCGCGGACAGCCAGTAAGTGCGCAGCAAATTGTCCCCATCTTTGTCCATCTCCTGTCATTACGGTCGTAGCTCCAAAAGCCGTAAGAACAAGAATGACCCTGCTGCTCTGATGCCCTTCCTCCATCTTGAATCCTGTCCAAGATCCACATATGAAGATAGTGTGGTCTTGCCTGGGACGGTTCGGCTGCTTCGCACTCATGACATGCCGTCAAACCCTGCAGGACTTCTTGTGCCATGGGATCTGTGTGTAATCAGACCGTATGACCGTATAGAAATGCGTGTGCAAAACTTGAAGCTTCACTGCTATACCCCCCCCGCTGGGAGGGCCGGGGCACAGCCCCAAGCAGGCAAAAGTCCGATAGGTTTGCGCTGCAGAAATGGTTCCGAGATCACTGGCACATATACCTTGCCCCCCTTTTCTTCTTCTACCCCCCCTGCTTCCGGTGATCTCACTCCTCACTTCCGCGGAAAAAGGTCGGAGAAACAAGTCGCTCCTAATGAAGAGTCCGTAGGAATCCCTCATCGAAGAA